ACAGCAACAACAACAACAAGTTGCGAAGAAAGTTATAGACAGCCCAAGCTCTCGGCTACAGTAAAAACAACTTTTGCCCAACTAGAAAAACTACAATAACTACTCCAAGCAGCAAGAGACCGCTATAAACGAGTAGAACACGTTTTACTGTTGGATACGCCGACTGCGCCGCCAGCGACGCTGTTGTCACATATTAGTGAGAGCGTATGTGTGTGTGTGTGTGTGCGAGTGTGTGTGTGTGTGCTGGTATGGGAAAGCTTTGCTTTTAACCCCTTTAAAGCCCCCTCGCTGACAGTCCATTTTCCTTGGCCCACTGTGTCCCGGACATTGAAAATGAAATGCAATCTAAATTAATTACATTACAGATTGTCAGAGGTATGAGTAGCACTTTTCTTAACGTTATTATTTTTTTTTTTTTTTGGCTAATAGCCAAGTTAACTGCTCAATAGCGATTTCACTTTGATGTGTTTGTGTTGGCCAGAAGACCTCGGAAATTAGCACTTCTTCTGGTTGACCAACTGCGAAAAAAGCTCATCAATAAAAGTCGCACATACAAATCCAAATACTTTACGCATTGTCAATATTTATTTATGAAGTACAAACTGAGAGAGCTGCTTCACAGGAATGTCAAAAATGGGGTGAGGCAACGTCAGTTAAAATGCACTCACAGTCACGTATTCACAAATAGAGAGCTATTCTAATAAAATAAAGTGTATTAAAAAGACAAACTTTAAAAACATAATAATTAATGTGAGAATGTGTTACTATAATTAATCAAAAGAGTAAAGAGAACTCTAACTCTTTTAAATGCTCGGAAAAAAATCTCAACTGATAACAGCTGGACGCCTATCCATAATTGTTAAAATGAAGTGCAGCTTCAGCCTGTTTGGCCGCTAACTGTAATAACAAGTTGTTTACTGTGCCAAATACTTTCCCATAGGAACCGTCAAAGAGCGCGCAGCTCAAGTACAAAATTGATTGAAAATCAAGTTGGCCAAAAAAAAGAGATGATCCGAGAGAGAGAAAGAGAGAGAGAGAGTGTGAGAGAGAAAGGGAGAGAGAGAGACAGTCTGTCAGAAGAGAGCACAAAGAAAGCAATGTAAATGAATTGCGGGGGAACAGTTCGGTGTCGTGTCTTCACGGAGCCGTCTACAACTATGCTGGTAACTGAAGATTCCAGCCACGATCAGTTGCAGACGGTCAGTCGTGCGAGACAGTTGAGTGCGCGGCGGTGTGAAAATTGCCAACAACGAAGCTCGACAACATAAAATAAGCGACCGCAATCACAATCATAAGCCAAAAAACTCCTCCAGCGAGAAACAGGTAAAAAGCAAACGTTGAAAAAAGAAAGTCTGCCAAGAACCGCATGGGGCTAAAAAGCATACGAAAGAAGCTCAAACAGCGACAGTCTTTGACGGGTACTCGAGGAGTGAGCAACGGCTACTCACACTCAAACTCAAACTCAAACTCAAATCGGTTATCGTAACAAGAATTACAAAACTAAACAAACATTCAATCAATTAACGGTGTGTGAAGAAACCAAATCTGAACAATATACGAATAATCGATTAACATTATCATAATCAAGGGCAGCTCCAGGTTAGAATTGGATTAAAAGTGTTAAAAGCTGAGGATTATCGAAACATCGTATCGTGTGTGTGTTATTCTTATATGATAAGTCCATGTAATTGGAATGCAAAACGAATACTCTCACCCAACCAAACGCTTTGCTGCTGACCCACAAAAAACAGTTCACAAACGAGAAATAGTAGAAAGAGCCTTGGCAACGTCTTAGACAAGAACTTTTAATTGATTTTCCAAAGCTCACAAAAACCAAAAACCGACTGAAACTCGGACTCTTAACTGGCTGGGGCCATAAATTGTTTCTGCGCAGCAATTTAGAGCCATCCCCGGCTTTTTTTTTCATATGCTCTGCTCCATATACAAGCCACACAACCAAACTCTGCTCCATTTCATGTGTGCTCTGTGGTCAGCAGCAGCATCCCCCTCTCAGGTTTCTTCTTACAAACTGACCCACATACGAGACAGTGGCTAATTTAAGTGTTTCCTGGCATCGCAGTTATAGTTTACGCTGTTTACACAGCTTCTGCACTTTGCTGCCAAAACAAAACATTCTCAAGTGTTGTTCTAAAGAGTCACAGCAGCAGCAGCAGCAGCAGCAGGAGCCGCAGCAGCAAACCCAAAACCAACACCAACATCAACAGCAGCAACAGCGACCATGCACTTAAGACAAGTAGAAGCTATTAACAGAGAAATATTCGACATGGACATTGTGGTTTTTCAACGAAATTTGAGTGGCTTACACAGTGAACCTCTTTTCAATTCACATACCCCAAAAGTTGCTACTTTTTTTTGTTCGTTTCATTTATGACAAGAAGCTTACGCGGCCTAATAGCTTTTTTATTGTAGGATATTGCTCGAAAAAAAAGATAGTAGTTATATATTGTGACTATTAATAAGCCGATCATTGAGCTAGCGTACCTTTCTAGAATATAAACGAAGGGCTAGGTTCGTAGAAACATTTGTGAATAATCATTGGAAAATCACGCGATCAATTGAATCCTAAAGAAATCACACATATTTCCCAGTTCTGCTTAAAGTACAGGGTATGCATGAAAAAAAAACTAGGAGAAGACCATGTCCATTAGTTGGTTAAGACGCTTGGCTGGCATGCGGCAAGTGCATTGTTGTTCCGCCAGGTGGCGCTGACACGGCGGCAGCAGCTCCTAATTCATGCGACATGAATGCAAAAACTGAGCGAGATGGATGAATATGGAAGCAGAGTGTGAGACAGGAACAGGAGCTGAGTAGTCTTGCGTGAACGCTGCGGCGGCTGCAGGTGCTTCAGCATGGGGCGTGGCAGTTCAAGCGGCACGTGTAAAGATTATTTTTCTACTTTACTTCTGTTGCCATTGTCTTGGAAAATTAACCGCAACGGCAGCAGGCAGCAGGCGGCAAGACAAGCGCGCCAAGCCCAGCATATGAGGCAAGTTTAAACAAAGACTCGACAGCTTCTGTACTGCGATGGTAACAGGCTGATATGCAAATCCTGAGGCACTTTTGTGGGCGTCTACGCGTGGCCTTTTGTGCGGCCAGCATATTTATTGATATGACGCTGATATGACAACGCATACGTAGATAGAGCCGAGCAGGAGCCGCAGGCAGCTATGAGGGGATCAAGTGGCTGCGGGACGGTGGGCCGACGTCGGGCTCAATAATCCCCATTGTACGCGAGTGTGTATCTGTGTGGGGCTTAAGTAATTTTGCTGGCTGTCATGCAAGTGCACAGCAAACACTCTCGCAATGCTTCCCCCATATTCAACCACATAGCCCCCTCCCACTGGCATGAATATTAATGTAAAATGCATACACGGTTAGCTGCATTTTTCTATGGAGCATTAAAATATAGTGGGAGCAACGTTCCATATGAGTTAGTGCCTACAATAGAGAACAACAGCAAAAGCTAGAACCGGTTGGCATTGGTGGGAGGTGGGATGAGGACCGGGACGGATGGAAGCTTCCACGCACTCTTGTGCTTGTCAAAAGTTTTTCCATTGCATTGCTTTTATAGCATGATGCGTAAAATGTTCGGAGTTAGGTGAGAAAATGGAAGAACATTGAGCGACTCACGGAGTATGAAAAGCGAATGCATGGGGCGAAGTAAATGCTATTTCGTAGACTTCAATAACCAGAGTTTATAAGTACCCAACTGAAGATGCCGCACTTGCTAGTCGCAAAAGCGTCAACACATACAATGGGTGAAATATGTGAAGAGCTCTGCAAAAATAATGGAGGTTGATCGAATGCCAAATGAAAATGTACTGAGTAGTAATGCCTAGACATAAAATATAATTGATTGCAAATATGTTCAGCTCTACTTGGAATAAGTTAAGCATATGAAGATATAGAACATTGAACCGGAATAGACTTTTCTCCGCTTAAATTTGTTTAATTGGTTTTACGGTGCCACATTCCGTCGATTGGCATCCGCAGCAGAAAGATGCACGAGGCGTGGGCGTGGGCCAGGTGTAGCTGATGTGTTATATTCGCTTGAGTGCCACGCCCAAAACGTCGCTTCCTTTTGCGCTGCTCTGTCTGTGCCACTGCACTGCCTAGGGCTTCAGATTTTAATAAACGCTGCTAGAGAGAACGCGTCGTAAAAGTTTTAATTAAGCAGAGCATCGTGACGACGCGTCTTCAGCCGAATCTACAGGGCGGGCACATGGAAAGACACTTCGATGCTATGAAACGCGGCTTTGAGCTTATCATTTGGGCTATCTCCAACTTGGCGAGGCCCTTAAAGGAAAGCCGCTGCTGCTCCCGCTGCCACAGGCAGGCCCCTGCAACTGGTCAACCGACTTGGCCGGCCTGGTCCGGTCTGGGCCTGGCCAGTAGGTCACTAGGTTTTCACTTTACTTTATAGCCAGCAACGATTGCTTATCAGCGCTAAGCTGAACTCGATTTTTAAAATGTTTTACTCATTTTTCAATAAGTGGCCGAACAGGCGGCCAACAGCAATAACAACAGCGGCAACAACACAACAACAAATCGCTGCGGCAACGCTGCCGCACAAAACTTGTTCGTGGCAGCGACGTCGACGTTGCTTTCACTTGGGGCAGCCGCACTTGACAGTGCGACAATAGCAACAACAACAACAACAACAGCAACAATAACAACAGCAACAATTGTTGCGGTTGTTTGTTATAGCCATTGGCTGTTGGCCATGCTGATTGTCATGGCTAGAGAGCCAACAGCAATCGCAGCAACAGAAACGAAACAGCAACAAAGCCCGCAACAAAGCAATACCAATGTGAATGGAAAGTTCAGGATGGGCACACGAACACCTCAAATACCCTACTTTGATTTAATACATTTAAAACTCAGCTAACCTGACAGGAAACAAACAACATGTCTTGAATCGGATAAATCGTCTAAATAGTTTCTTTTTTTTTCAAGTTGGCTCATTTTGTATTATTTATTTACATCATCATCTCAGCTTACGTATACATTTCATCTACTAACACTGAGAAATGTTGTCAGAATCTCGGATTCGATCAGAAGAACCTCCATTACAATCTGGCTATAGGAAAACGTGTCTAGATCTATGAAAGTTTGGCAAGCGGTAACACAATGTTGGCAATTGGACCTTGGACTCTGCACGTTTGCAACATTTGCAACAGAGTCGTTGTTGCACTGCAATACACTCACTTCTGGCTGTCTTTACCTGCCACTGCGGTAGCTGCGGCGACGGGAGTGGCGTCAAATGGCGCCTGCAGCTGTCCAAAAAGCGTCGTTGTTCAAGTTTCTGTTGTTGCTGCTGCTGCTGCTGCTGCTGCTGCTGTGTGTCAAGTGCCAACAAAATGGACATGTGGACACAGCCCGGCGGCAACTTTGAGGCATAGTTCAAAAACATGTTTACACTCGCACTTACACACACGTACACCACACACACACACACACACGCGAATACGTAGTGTCTGCAATTATTTGGCTGCTTTCTTTGATGTCTTATTGACAAGCTGAGTAACTTAGTGGCCTGTCAGTTGGCTTTGTTCGATAAATATGTAATTTAAAAGCCATGAAAAAGAAAGTGTTGCACTGCACCGAATTGGGTTAACCGCAAAAGTAAAAGTTCTGCAAGTGCCCCACAATTTCAACTCCACTCAACTCAACTCCTCCTCTTTTGCATTTCATCTGTTGCAGAGACGTACCAATAATGAAATTCGTGATTTTGCTATGCGTGCTAAGTGCGCTGCTGCTGCAGATTGAGGCGTCGCCGGTGCAGCTGCTATCGAGAAGCGAAAGGGCCGTCGCCCGCCAGCAGGCGGTCAACAACGAGGTGGCACCGGCGGCAGCGCCGGCCAGCGAAGATGACGACGACGACGATGAGGATGATGACGACGATGAGCCGGATTTGGGCGACTTAGTTGATGACGATGATGGTAGGTAGCCGGTAGCCAGGCCAATTGCACACACACAGATATTAAGCAAGCACCCGAGCACCTGAGCACCATGCACCACCAGCAACTAGAAACTGCAACTGCAACTGCAATTGCAACCACAAAGTGGCACTCAACGATCAACGATCAACCACCATTCGCAACCACGAAATTTGCATATTTGTGTGATGTTATTAACAAATATTTTGTGCTCTCCTTTCCTTGGGTAACGCAGTTATTTTGCTTTCGGGGTTTACAGATGATGACGATGAGGAAGACGACGATGATGAGGAGGAAGATGACACGCCACAGGGTCAGGCAGCGCCAGCAGCGACCGCCAGCGATGATGACGACGAAGAGGATGACGATGATGATGACTACTTGGATAGACTATTCGATGATATTTTAGGCGGTAAGCCATAGGATGTGCAGCCGGCTGGCCAGCCAATTTAGCCCCTTTTACATTCATTATCAGATGATGACGATGAGGACGATGATGACGAGGTGGCGCCCGCTGCCAGCGCCCAGCAGAGCCCTGCTGCCGCTGCACCCGCGCAGGCGCTCGAAGAAGTCGCGCCTGCCGCTTCCAGCGGCTCACTGAGCTCGGGCATTTCTGATGGTGTCGACTTGCCCGCGGAGAGCGGCAATGCTGCTGAGCCCATTGCGGCCGGCAACACTGTTGAGGATGTGGCCGCAGCTGCGGCGCCCGCCCAGTCGGCGAGCAACAACAACAACGAAGGTGAACTAAATGTTTTTTACGATGAAGATGCACTTGTAGACGGTAGTAGTGGTAGCACCCATAGTTTAAGTAGCACCAATGCAATTGACCAACAAAAACAAAACATACAACAACAAATACAACAACAAATACAACAACAACTGCCACAACAGCAACATGCGACACATCAAACAATAACAGCAAATCAAGCATCATCACAACAGCATATAACAACAACAACAAAAACAACAACATCAACAAAGAACACTCTTAAAAATAACAATAACAATTTAGTGGTCAGCACCGCACCGGCGCAGCCAGTAGTGGGCGCTGTGGGCGTGGCAACTGGGCCAATAGCAGCGCCTGCTGCTGTTAATGTTGCCGCCGGCGCAGCGTCTGACGACGAAGACGATGACGATGAGGACGATGAATATGATGATGATGATGATGGTGATGATGATATTGATGATGGAGTCGATGAAATTACAGGTGCGCTGACAGGTGACGACGAGGAGTCTGACGACGATGACGATGATGATGACGATGATGATATTATTGGCGATGACGTCATCGAGGCCAGACGCGAAGCACGTGAGTCCAAGTCAACAGCAGCAACAAAAACAACCAAAGCCAAAAAATCAACAAGTGTTTCCAAGAAGTCCAAAAAAGAGCTTAAGCATTAAAAGCAAACAACTGCCACAACAACAAACAACGACAGCTTAAACAGGAACTGCATATGACTGGGACAATCAAACCACATTGATATGACTTAAGACGTTGCAAGGCATTGCCAACTGTTTTTGGGTAGGACCACATTAAATCTCTTGGACATTGCATAATTCTTTGCCTGCACTGACTATCCCTAAGTCCCACAAACAACAGATCGATCAAAAACCACTGAAAAGCAACAACCTATTTCTAATTTATTTATTTATTTATTTATTTTTGAGTTTTAGTTAAAATGAGAACGCAAATCTCTAGTTTACATAAAGCAAAACAAAACTAAACACAACAAAACAAAAATGGAAAAAAAAAAAAACAAAAATTGCATATTTAAGTAAACGAATATTTTTACAATATCCTCGAAATGAGTGGATTGAGAGTTTGGTGCTAGTCAAACTATCTGCAAAATGACAACAACCAAGAGCACAACAAAAATGCAAATGCAAACTTTAAAGCTGCACGCACAAGCAACATTCCCCCGTCCCGCCCACACTCTTTCACACAAATATTACGTTTTCATTCCAAGTTATTTACGCACGGACTGTTCCACATGACCACCAACCACCACAAATAACAACAACAGCAAACAAAAAAAAAAAAAAACAAAAAACAAAACGCACAACAAAATGTTTAATGCCGAAGCACAAATTGTTGAAATAATTATCAACGCAAAAAGCAAAGAAAAAATGCAAAAAATTAATGTGAAAATTGCGCCGTGTGGTATGCAGCAAAAACTGGCTGAGCTGAATGGTGATTCGCCATTTTGGCAGGCATTTTTGTTGCTAGCCGTGTCGCAAGCACTCACGCAAATACATATACACACAAACACACACACAAATAGCTAAATTTATGTATGTAAACAACAACAGCAACAACAACCACAACGGCAACAATAATTGTTCATATAGTGTAATCTATAATAATTTTTAATTTTTTCTTGCTTCACTTCTATTTTGTAATTAATTTTATTGTTCACAACAACAACAATTATCGGAGAAATTATCAATGCGTATTTATCTATGCATATCCAAAGTCCGTTATATATATATTTCTATATGTGTATTTCTCTATCTCTGTCTCTGTCGCTCACTTTCCCTTTCACTCACGCTTTCACACATTTGGCTTACAATTGACATCAAAGATTAATCTCTGACTATTTTATTTTTTGGCTTTTTTTCTGGCTCGCATACCTTTCCGTAAACGTAAATAACGCAAATTGTAATAAAAGTAAAAAAAAAACACACAGAAAACAAAATTAAACCAACTGTAAATTGTAGCTAAAAGTTGAACGCTTGAAAGGCAGCGCACGCTTTGCCAAAATTTTCCAAATAATGAAAAGTGACTTCAATTACATTTTCATTGCACAAATTGTTAAACTTTGCGTTTTAGGTTCAATTATTTTGTAATTTATTGTTTATTTATTTATTTATTTATTTATTTATTTATTATATATTGTAAAAACAAAACAAGAAGTAAACAAAAACAAGCAAAGCTGCACACACACACGTAAACACACAAGAATTTGCTTAAATAAATTTTTCATGAATTTTGTGTACAACTTTTTGAGAAATCAATTGAAAAAACTAAACAAACCCAATTTGTGTTTTATTTAAATATGTCCCTAGTTCACTTTCAAGCGTCACTATTTGCATAATGGTCAAGGTATTGGTAACACTTTCTCTCTCGCTCTCACTCTCACTCTCTATGTCTGTCTGTCTCACTCCTTCCGTCTCTCTTACTCTCATCACTAGCAGCATCACATGGCTCATTTATATATGTATGGATTACACCAGGCACTTGTACATAATTATTTTCCTCCGTGTGGCTGGGCGCAACTTCCACATAGATACTTCTACACAACCACACACACGCACACAAACACAAGCATACTTATGTGAAGGTATTGGTGCACTATGGTTTTCTATAAAAAACTTGGCTAGTATCTATTTTAAATATGTCAAATGTAGAACGGGCGCAATGAACTTGATCACAATTTCGCTTCAATTAGTTACAACAAAAGGACAAAGTTGACGTTAATAGTTAACCAAGAGGCCATATGCTAGGTTATACATGTGTACTTACCCAGTTCATGTTACAGTATAGAACGAAGTGCAAAAAAGAAAGACTCACACGCCCACATGTAAAATACACATAAGTAGTTCAATATTTCTAGCGATGACTGCACAATGTGCTATTTTCTATACAATTCAGTGTATGGGCTTAAGGGTTGGAGAAGTCTTCGAATAACTATTCGAAATACTTAAGTCACATTTATCTGAGGGTTACGTATAATTTGATTTGTGAAAATATTTCAATCATTAATCATTATTCAAACTAAGACTTCATAGTCGTAATGATTACGATAACATAACGTTGAGATTCGCTTGTGCTCTGAATATAGATATTTAGCTAAATATTTAAATGTCGCCGAGTTCTCAGTATTGGCTGTTACTAAATCATTTATGTTTTTACCTTTTTACTGATGTTAACTCTGTTCTCTTGTCCTCTGCTCTCTTGTGCTTTCACGAGTTAATCCTCGACACGACTTGGCTGTAGTCTGTGCAAGCTTATATAACATCACATATATTCCCATATTGCAAGAGCACTTAAAAGTCAATTTTAATTTTGCACGGGTGGAAATGGGATGCAAAGGAAAATACTTGGTCGGGTAATAAAATGGCTTATTAATTTCCTGTGGCATTTGAGCCACGTTATTTATTGGTACCCAACGTCCATCCCTGGCATAGTTCTTAAGTGTATTAGTGCGATGTTCTATTATATACGAGTCTGTGGCTGCGCTGCTTCAATGTCAACGCTTTTTATAACATTATTTGCTAAGCAATATTTTCCTGAGTGACATACCCACACACACATATACACAGTCAACACTTATTACGTATTTGTGTATGTGCGCCTAACTATTTCTGGTGTGCTCTAGGCAAGCCTGCACGGGTTGACATTCACACATCTTAAATTAGAAACACTGCATGCTGCAAAATTACCCATCCAGGGCCTTGAAATGTCCTTTATTCAAAAACCAACACACAACACACGAAAAAAAAACTCTTAAGCGAGCCTCCTGAAAGCGTATTAACATTGACATCTTCTATGGTGTGGGGCAGGTGATCTGAAAAACAACGTCATTGACATGTCAACGGATGCATTCCAAGCGCGCCATAATCATTTCATCGATGCCATATTCTCTCGCATAAATCGCATTGTGGCCGACAATTACGATCCGTTTGTGGTACGTTTGGCCGGGCGCTCGGCCACGCCCACCTATGGAAGCGCTGCCGTGAAGACCACAACAAAGACCAAGGGAAATGCTAACCACAAAGCAACAACTCACAAAAAACTGTAAGTGGCAAAAGGCAATAGTTAAAACAGATAATTTCGAATACAAGTAAAATATATAAAATGGATTGAAAGGAGCTCAAGTGGAGATAAATTTAATTGATATTTAAATCAAAAATTTGAATATCATTTCCAGCTATATTTTAATAGAATAACTAAGTCTTAATACTAAAAATTTAAAACAAAATTAAGCGAGAATTTAAAATTTAAATTTAAAATCTTAAATTGGTGCATACTGATAGGAATAGTATAGTAGCGAGGACCCTTCCTTAAGCGATAAAGATATCCTTATCTTGAATAAATTTAAGGAACTCTTAGGTTTCTCTCAATGCTCCTATTGCCCATTAACCAGCGCCAGTACGTACATATAGGAGTCTTATTATGACTTAATCAGAAAGCAGTCGGGATATCTATGTAGCTAAACGGACTTCGAAATGATCCCGAGATATGTGCAGGTTCAAAGTGAAGTTTAATGAGAGCCCAGCAAAGTGTTCGACAAGCGTTTCTATTAAAATGTCATCAGTTAGTTTCTTTAGTTTCTCAACTGGACTGCAATCAGGTCTGCTTTCTAGGCCTTAGTCAGCCGTTGGGCGCTCTGCAGGGGTATAAGCTGGCATCAAATTAAGGCAAAGTCAAAGCAAATGATGCAAATTTGTCAATCTCTGTGACTTGCAGCAAGAACACCCGCTCGGAGCCACGCACCGCCAGCAGCACGGAGTCTGTCAAATTGCAGGAGCAATTGACGCAATTACAGACAGAACTTGGTATCAAAGCCATCGAACAGCAGGCGGTGGAGGAGCAGAGGCAACAGGCCGTGGCATCCGGCTCTGGCAAAGCGGAAACTCGCACCGTGTTCAATGGGGAGCAGGCAAGCGTCAAAGCCAACCAAAAGAAATCCACGGCCGGACAGCAGCAGCAGGCGACGCATAAACACAACACGAAAAAGGCAGCGGCTGCGGCGGCGCTGAAGGCGGGCAACGCCAACTACAATCAGCCAGCCGGCGTGGGGGCATCCAAGGCGGGCACGGAAGTGGAGAAGCTGCAAAAAGCCGAAGGCAGTCTGTCCGGTCTGGCGTCACTGAAACGTGTGGGCAACGTGAAGGTGATCAGCGATGCGGAAGGACGCAATTCGACCATTAAGGCCAGATTTACGCTGGGCCCATTGACTCTGCGCGTGGAGAAGTCCTTTAAGCGGGGCAGTGTGCGCAACGTTAAAAGCGCCACGGCCAGGACCAACGAGATGATCGGCCGCATCAAGTTCAGTGTGCTGGATGATCGGGCCACCTTGATGTCAATCAAGGTGCAGCAGCCCAAACAGGTTAGCCCGTTACCATAGTCCCTCTTTGTGCTTTGAGCAATTAGCTTTCATTCTATGTGTGTTCCTCTGTTCCTTTTGTGCAGGTGGAGGTGGAGAGCAAGGACAATCACGACCGAACCCGCGAATTCGTCTGGCGTCGCACCCCCAAAATCGCCAAATTGGTCAATGAGAAGCTCAAATTGGCAGCCGAGTCCCTCTTTACGCCGCAGGGAGTTGAAGTTGTGAGACTCTAAGGGGCAGACAGTTGCCATCTTTTGCACAGCCAGATAAATGTAGTCCTAAATCTAATTTTAATGTCTAATTTATTTATTTAATTTATTTGCTCACTATTTATTTTTCTATTACTATTAATAATTGAACTATTTCTTTCGCAATTTACAGTCGACTTTTACTAAGTTTAGAAAAGTTTACTGGAAAATGGATGCCAATCTTTGATTTCGTGGTTTTTATACCCTGTACCAATTAAAAAATGGGTGAAAGAGGGTATAATGAAGTTGTGCAAACAGAGATCTATCAATTATTCCCGCTCTTTCCCAAAAATCAATGCATAACTATATTCGGTGTCGATTTGCTATCTCACATGATACTTTATGCTCTCCTTTGGTATCTTCTATCACTTTATTTCCCCTGCCCTAAATTAATAAACAATTAATGAAACTTATATCAAATCGTGACTTGTTGTGTGATTATCTATATCGATTTTAGGCGAAATAATGATCACAAATAAACATATTTTCCGCCTGACTTAGTCCAGAAACTTTTCTATACCTTTCGTAATATAGCTGCGCACTTTCGCAATGCCCTTATAAACAAAGGTGTGCCAATTGTTGGCTCCAGGTGCATGTCAGTTGGTCCCAAGCTACCAATACACCTGAGAGTATCTGTATCAAGTCACTTACAGTTTTCATTAATGCTGCAGGTGGGTCACAGATGGGTGGCTGTAGACGCCCCTGTGCCTTGTAAAGTAAATATAAGTGCGTATTTTGTGTTGCATCTAAGGCGGAAGGACATGCAATTTGTTGTTGTTTGCCTTTGTTAGTATATACTCCTTTCTGCTGCCTTCCATTACGCTAACCCCCGGTGGACTCCCTACAGCATACTCTTGGCTTCTTTGTCGCCATCGTGCATGCTGTTTGTTCTTTGTTGCACCTAAATTGACAACAATATCGTTTCATTTGCTCAGTGAAGTGAACTCATCAGTGCCGAGATCCCCACAACCATTCCCCTGCACCATACCCATATCACCTTCACCATGTAGGACACGCATTGGCACTTCATTTTTTTTTTTTGCTATCTTCTGTAGCTGCTGCTGCCGCTGGACTCTCGTTTGGCAGCTTGATTATATTGACTGGTAGTAGCCGGCGGGATGACAGGACAATCTGGTCATGTGCCCGGCTTAAATTTTAACATTAGGTATCTTTTACATTGTTGTGCGCAATGCAATTGTTGCTTGGTTGTGCCATATGAACAAATTAAACCAATTCAATAGGTCAAAGGTGCGGGCAAGGGCTGAGGGACTGGGCCAAAATCTCATTTGTACAGCTGCCTGCCAGAGCGAAAAATACGTAAATTTGTTGTAACTAAATTTCTTCAGCATTCATTTGCATTTGTTATTACTTCGTCGGTTTTGCAGTTGCAATTCCTGAATATGCAACAATGCCCGGGACAAAGCATCACAGTCCCGAACCAACTCTGTTAGAAGATTAAATTCCATGTTGGAGCTGATTGCATTACTGGAGTGGGTGGACCACTGCCCAGTTTATTCGAGCAAGCTAAAAAATATTTTCATAAATCATAATATGCAATTTCCACATGCTCTCTACAAAATGTGTTCACATAAACGGGTTCTGCAAAACATTTAAATGAGAGTTCTAATAAAAAGTTTTAAGTAATAAACGTAATAATAATAATAATGTAAATGAAGAGTTCTTGTCTATTGCCATGAGGGTCTTCACAAAAAGATCAACTACAGTTCGGCTTGCTGTAAGCTCAGCAAAAGCTTAGAAGTTTTCGAAACGTTATTTTAGATTGTGCAACTTAAAGCCAAACTTGTCTGGCTGCTGGTATTTTGAAAAGTTTAATACCTTCAGACGTGCCATATGCCGCTCATTATATTAAGACACAGGCATGGGCACACACATGACAATACTGGGATAAAAGTTAAGGTTGAATATTATGAAAACTATGTTCGAGTTAGGGGACAAAGTCTAGCATGCAACTTGCCACTGGCACTTTGGTAGCCTGGCAACTTAACACTTTCAAGGCCAGGAGCTCGTGAAATTAATTAACTTGTTTTATTAGCTCGCTAAGCTTTCGATGGGCTTTACCTGCTGTCAAGGCAACATAGTCCGATCGGGAGTGTCCTCGTGGCTCGCCACAAAAGCGACAACTAATTGCCACATAATCAACAACAACAACAACAATTATGCTACTGCAAATGAGCAAAGGAACAATGACAACCACAACAAGCAGCAACTATTGTGGGCGACAGTTGGGCGTCTGAGGGCTGTGAATCGGGCTGGAATTTAAGCACTTGCGCTTTTTACCAACTCAATTTACGCTAATTACTGATTTTCGCCACAGCGATAACGTTCTTGCCTCTGTATTTGCCCAGCTCTCGGCAATCGCAAGAGATAAAACCCAACTTAAGTATCTTTGTGTGTGGAAGACATATATATATACATATACATATATATCGTAGCAGCCGAGCCGCCAGAGCATCGCCAGCCTCAGCGCTCGTTGCCCATCTGCAGCAGGTTTTCGAATGCCAACTGAATTTATATTGTCATTAGCTCTTTTTATGTAAAGTCGCGACACATTTTTCATTAAAATTCTTCGAATTCGCCGTCAAAGAGAACAGAACTGTGAGCAGGTTATGCTCATGCGCGCTCTGTGCTGCGTTCTCTTTATGCTTTCTTAGCACTGACCTAAGGTCTTGCTGTTGCTGATGCTGTTGTCTGAGTCTGCCAGACACTTAATGTGGATGCGATTGCTTATGGGCCTTTGGTACTTTTTTATGACTTCTTTTAAAATTAGGATTGGGTAAGAACATATGAATGTCATATTATGAAAATTTAATTATTGCCTAAAAAGCGAGCGGATTTAAAAAGAAATATAAAAATAATGTTAAAGAAAAAAATTATTAATTACAGGCTGTTTCAAGTCAGAACTTTACAATTCAATATCCATAAAATTTTCTTTCCTTAAAATATAGTCATTTGTTTTTTTTGCTTAACTTGAATTTAATTTTGGGACTCGAAAAATTAAGTTTCCTTGCATTAAATATCATCATCATCCTACCATTATCGTAGGATCAACTTTAAAAGATTTGGCCTTTTAAGCATTTTGCTTACAGAGCCCAAGTGAAAGAGTGACAAATTGAATTGAAGAGAAACAGATTGCGGCGAATTGACAGCTGGCTGGCAGTCGGCACATCGACGACGGCAACTGCGAAGCTAACGATGCCCACGAAATACGAAGACGAAAGCAACAGAAACCGAACACAACACGAGGCTTCGTCCTGACAATGGAGGAGGCTAAGGCTCGTCCAGTATGTTGGCTGACAAGTGCAAGGCCCAAAATAAGTTTCAGTTTCAGTTTGTGTGCGACTGCGACGGTGAACGCATGCGAGATAAACGCAGCGGCTAACGCGTGCGAGTTCGAGTCTGAATCCAAATTCAAATCCGATAACGAATTCGATAACGACAAAGCCAGCGGCGGCACACAAACAAGTTGATATAAATCGAAGGCCCAAGACGTGAGACGCCAAAGTATCTGCAACCTGCATCAGTGTGTAAATGTATGTAGAGTGTGTGAGTGCGAGTGTAAACGAAAAGTTAAGACCAACTTCTTTAGAACGACTAAAAAAGTGCCAGCGTCGTAAATTTGGAACGTGTGAAAACGCAGGAAAAGCCTCATTGCCTCATTGCCGGTTTGGCAGGAGAAGAAATTGAAAGCCCTTTGTTGTTGCTATTGTTGTTGCCATTATTGTTACTGCCGCTGGCTTATGTCTTTTGGGGCAGTTTGCTAAAGCGCGCGACGCACGCGAATATTTTATGACATCGTTTCGAATTATATGCGATTTTTTTTCGGGGCCCGCCTCGTGTTTGCAACTTGTTAGCAGTGGCAGGCGACAAAAGACGAAACTAATAAAATAAAAGCAGCAAAACGCTCATACAACAAATAAAAATGTGTTTACGCCTACACGACTTGCCCCTCCCCTCTGCCGCATACTCGCGCCCCTCGGCAACACTCTGTCTCATTAGCAGTCAGCAAATTAAGTTGTTGTATATGTAGCCCAACGTTTCCACAACACCAAAATAAATTAACAAACTAAAAACAGAACTCAATACAAACACCTCACAAATGTACCAAATCGTCTTTGATCTATAGCCCAACCGATAAATGGAAAAGCGCGTCAAAACAAATTGTGCACACAAATTTCCCGAGCGGCAATATTTTGTAATTTAATACATTCAAAGTCTTCGAGCGGCACAAGAGTGACAAAAATTAATAGAAAACACATAAAAAATTAACTTAAAAATGTGTTAGCAATGCCGCGGTGGCTTTTAGTGGGAAGCCCTGGGGTAGCTGAATGATCGCCAGCGGGCGCACAGTGCGTATGCGCATTGCGTAAACGAATTTGTTACACATACGTCATGTTGTACAACAGTAAAAGACCAACAGCGACAATCGTTATTGCTGTTGCTGTTATTCTAGATGCCTTTGTTCGCCAAAAAACTTTACCCTTGATTGTTGCACTAAGTAGTTGAAGACAGGCGAGAAAAGTTTTGCCGAGTTTTTAAAAATAAGAGCACACATCAACAAAAGTTGAGACAAAGAACGAAAAAAGCCAAGCGCCAAGTTCTATTTTGCTATTTTATCTGGATTTAAACTGTCACCGAACAAAAGTCAGGACACGGAAAATATAGGAGCAATTCTTTCAATAGTAAACGCTTTAAACTTTGCGAGTCTCTGAAGACAGTTCAAGTAGATAAATGCAGCAAATATTTTATTATTCTATCAGCAGATATACGGAATGTTCAACCTTTCGTATCAATTGAAGTTTGTTATTTAATATTTTACTATGAATTGATTTAGCGGGAAAGGTATTTCTATAATGCCATTTTGCCATATTATTAGTTGGGTTTTCCAAGAATATTCAAATCACGGCTCTTGTATCAAGTATGGCAATAATCATTAGGTTAAATGCAAGGAAAATCTGCGTAAATTGTTTTCAATTTAGCTAAACAACCAAGCAGAATAGAAACTATCCTAAAATAAGCACACAATGCTGTTGTATCAATAAAATATTCATGAACAATGCGCAGCAGTGTCGCACGGGGATACACTGAGTCGTAGCAATGCGGAAATGGCCAAATACAGGGGGGAGTGCGATGAAGGGCATATCATCTAATCACGGATACTAAGCATAATGGTAAGCGACGCCGACGGGGAATAGGAAAGTGCTCAAGAGCTGAGCAGCAAACTGCAGACGTTTACAATTACACACAGACACACAGAGAGAAGGAGAGTGAGAAATAGAGAAAGTGAGACAAGTGGACTTCACTTGAGCTTGCACAGCCTTAGGCAACAATTACCAAGCCGCACACACTCACACGCCAGACACACACACACACACATATATATAAATGTATACATATATATATATATATATATATATATATCTACAAAAATAACACACAAAGAGCTTGAGTACGTTAACACTTTTGAGAAGCACAGGAGCGACTGCGTTGTCCTGTGCCTTTCAGGCTGCTCTTGCTGGCTCTTGCTCCTGTCTCTAATTCCATTACGGAAGCAACAGTGACAAGTGGCCCCCACAGGGCGCCAGGCTAAGCTGGCTAAAAAGCCTTCTGCTGCTGATTGAAGTCTGGGACAGGGCAGCATCAGCTGCCGTCAGTCATTGTACCTTTGAGATGACTTTTCAGCCCTGGCCTCAGCCTCAGCCGCAGCCCCAGCCCCATCTGTAGTTTGTAATTAGTTGGAGGCACTGCTGCAAATTTGCAACTAATTAGCTTTTAATTAATTTTACACTCCACCTACAAATCCTTAAGTGTCGTGCGAAAAGCCCAATTCCAGAAACTGCTCCAACAAATTACAAGTGTATTTTGGGCAGGATATTTATCAAGGCAGCTGATTGAGAAGTTTGATCCAAAAGTTGAACCTGCCGCAGGTCAAATTGATTGATATCCCTCTGACATACACTGAATAAATTCGAATATATGAGCAAACGCTAAAATTGCCAAGGGCAAGCTGAAGGTTGGCCAAAGGATGGGACGACAGTTGGCGGGCTTCAATTTTGAGACGTGCCGAACCCTCCGGCCAATCTATTGCCACATTCCCATTTTCCAGATGATTCCCAAACGCCCATATGCAATAAAATACACACAAATATGTATGTAAATATCCTAAAATTTACTTTATATGTTTTCCTTGCCTGTCCTATGTTTGATTATCGTAAGCATAGCAGATTTATTTTTGGGCCTCATTTCTGTGTAACCCCCTTACAATACTCTGCAGACATGCGTGTCAGTTCTCGTTCTCGTTCTCGTCAAATATGCATCATGGAAATTATAGTTAAAGTTTCTGCTTCTGTTATTTGTTCAGATTCTCTTTGAACGCGTGCAGAGTTTTAATTGATTTTTTTTACGTTGAAGGTGTTTAGAGTCGGTAAGAAACACCTGAAGGCAGGAGTTTGACCGAGACGACTCTATAAACTAAGTGAATAGAAGGTTAAGTTTAAATTTAGCTTCTTACCTTAGTATTCCATTAAACTCAGTGCATACTAGGCAGGTATTAATAACTGTGTGCTTAAAAATATGGTTAACTGCCTTTATCTATTTAAATATTTAATATCATTATTGTGAAAGATGTTCGGAAAATTAATAGAAAATTAAAAAATCAATATAGCAATGTCCCACATACAATGCTATATCTGTTTCATGCATTTATTTTAAGCTTTTCACTTGTATTTGTCTTCAGTCAAAACAGATGGGAAAGCGTGGCTTTTGTTAGGTGAAAATGCGTAAATATGCCCACGCTTTTCAGCGAAGCGAACAGAATTATAAAAACAATGATAAATTTAATCAATTTAAGTTCGCAGAGCTGACAAAATCAATTTACTTTGGCCAAGGCGACAAAAAGCGTTGAAAACTCATGGCAAAAAGCAAAGCAACAACAAAATGGCATAAATAAAGGACTTAAAAGAAAATGGAAAAACAAATACTGATATTTGGCCTAGGCAGCAGCAACAACAGCAAAAACAGCAGCAAAAACAACATAAACAGCAGCAAAAACAATATCAAACAAAAAGCGGAAAAAAGGTTAAAAACAAACGAAACGTTAAAAGATTAAATTGTCTGCCGTTGGAATTAAGTGTTTTAAATGTCATTGCGAGTGTTTAATTCATGAGGGGCGGCAGCAGCACAACAATGAGTGGCTGTAATTGTTGTTGTTTCTCTTGTTGTTGCTGTTGTGTGTGTTTGCAATCTGAATAAAAGTATTATTTACAGTGAGGACGCAAAATGAAATAAAACAACTATATCAGTAAGGAGATGTTAAAACAGTTAAAGCTAATTGTAAATCGATAAACAAGCAAAAAAAAAGTTTGTGAAAGCAGTAGACATTGTGGCACTCACAGGACACGAAACGAGAAAGAAAAACTGAGAGAGAGAGAGGGAGAGACAGATCCAAGGAGTAAAGCACACGGCGCTGGACGCCGCTTCCATATCAAAATGTTGACCCTTTCGACGCTGCTCTGCTGCATGATGGGTAAGTTGCAACTCGGGCCAGGACACTTGAACGCTGTCATAGCCTCAGTTATATACCATATACTTACATACATATCAAATCCTGTTTAAGCATGCATAAGATTATCAGCGATTGCCAGCGACAACGAACCCAAACGACCCCCAAGTTATTATTGTGGTTGCGGCGGCACCCACAGTGAATCCTTTAAAAAACATTTGTGGCCCGGGCTGCGAAAATCCTGATTTATGTCTGCCTGCTGCGCTGCACTGCGTTGCGTTCTCGTTCTCGTTCTCGTTGTCGTTGGCGTTGTCCTTGCCAGCAACATGGCCAATGCCAACCGCAGCAGGGGCAAAGGCAGGCAAACAAAAATGCGGTCGCATCGCCTTAGTCCACCCCGGGCATATCATGTAACAGGAGCAGAGGCTGTGGGGTGAGTCATGTGCAGGGGGCGGGCTGCCAGTGCTGCACTTTAAACTTTAAACGACATAACACAAATTGCTCTCTGCGCATAATTATGCATAATTGAAAAGTGTAATTATGCCCGCGGCTCGAGCAGCGATTTTATGAGGCGCAGCATCAAGCTCAATCAAGCGAAGCAAGAGAATAAACAACGGCAACAACATCCGCCGGAGTGTCGCAACAAGAGGCAGCTAGGCACAATGTTTATGGCTCTCAGGTCCTTTTAATTGCTGTCAGCTGCGGGCCAGGACCAAGACGTCATAAGCAGAACTGCTCAAGCCTACACAGCTCCTCCAACCATCGGGAATGTTCAAGAGTTAGGTTCTGCTTATACTTCGCAAGCCGTTTGCGCAAGCCTTTTGTGTAGTGTTAAGGCTGTTGATCGGCTTGCGCAAGCGATTTGTATAAATCTTGAATATAATATGACAACAGATTTACAAAAGTTTGAGCAGTTACCCTTTCCAAATATCGTCGAGTATAACTAATCTAAGTTTTTTCAATACAAAAAATTTGAATTTGCATAATCGCTCGCAGAGACCACAAGCTGATGTTACCAATATTTGTATGTATACAATTGTTAAGGGGTGTTACTATCAAGGAAACCGAAACCACCACGAAAATCACACGAGGGGACAATCTTGGAACTGGCCAACTCGTGGTACTGCTAAAAGGACTCGGGTGGCCTCTTTATTTGTGTCCCGACAGACCCGGGCTTAGCGCAACAGTAAAGTGTCTCTTTTTTGGTCGTCTAGTACGACAAGCGTGACATACCGTCGCGGTTACAGTGGTCGGCATAATTATTTTCACAAGACAAATTGTTATTTATGTATTTTTATTTTTCAATAAGTTTGTTTAACAAAATTGTGTTGATATTTCCTTTCAACATAATAAATGGTAAGATTCTTAAGAACTCAACAAACAACGATAGTCAAAAGTAGTGTTCATCAAGTTGAGTACCACTGTATTCTCCAGACCGTCAACTTCATGGCTGCAATCAGTTTTGGACGAAAGTCCGCTACTGGAAGCCGGAGCGGAAGTGGCTATATCAAGCCGGGTGTTGGATCTAGAACATATACAATTTATGGGATCAGAGATATGTCCATATTAAAGCTGCTTCTGTTTCTTCCTTGGAGTAGGAGATGTATACATATATTTTTCTGCTAAGCTGTTCGTTGTTCAGCTTTTTAACTTCTGGCCTTGTTTGTGTTTCTTCCCTTCGAACAGCGCTCACTTCGACGCCAGTTTTAGTTAGTGGAGTGGTTTATTTAGCTGCCTCTTGTGCCATGTGTTTTTATAGCATTAATTTTTATGGTCGCTGTTGTTGTTTCTGCGGCTCTTCCTGCTGTTGCTGCTATTATTGTTGTTGCTGTTGGTGCTGTTGTTGTTTTCGGTGCTTTTGTTTTACTTTGCGTATGCCCCAAAGTAATAAAGTGAATTGGTTTTCTCAAATAATTTCCATTTTAAATCCAGTCGGCAAATCCGCACAAGCTATGCCTCCTTCCCCGCCCCGCCACGCCTTCGACCAGGCGCAGTAGGTCCACGCAACGTTTGTTGTTGGTTGTTGTTCTTCCTGTTCTGCCAAAAGTGGCTTCATTTTCTCGCATAAAATTGTTTCGTAAAGTTTGTTAAGATTTGTTTGGCGACAGCATTTGCAATTGTTTTTCTTTTCCTGCATTCCTTATACATTCAAGTTGCTGTTGTTGTTGCTGTTTTTGTTGTTGTAGTTGTCGCCTCTTATCTATTTTCGGCGTTGAATACTATTTGCATTTGCGCCAAATGCGGCCGCTGCCGTCAGTGTCAACAAGGCCTCAAAATTTAATTGAAATATAGTGTAAACAGAATGACAGCCTGTCGATTATCCAGCACCCACCCACATCCGGACTCCAATGCGCCGATACATCTAAGTCGCTATTTCCGCGAAATCCTTTCCCGCGCAAATCCTGTCAACTTTGGCTTGGCTTCCAATTTGCCAAGCGCCTTTTGTGTGTCAAAACTCGATACGAAACACGGCAAACATTTCGCACATGTCACTGAGCCAGTGAAGTTCTTGCCATACGCTCAACCTATGGATGGGCCTAACCCAAAACCCGTCCCTCTCGCTCCCCACAACGTTGGCTGTCAAAACAACACCAACAACCTTGCATCTAGACCCACACACGCACAACAGACTCCTCACACACTCCTTTGAATGTAAACGCGAATTGTTTACATATTTGCTTTGTGCATATGGAAATGAAATGGCAAATAAACGAATGAAAGGGGAACAAAAATTACGTTGACTTTTCCAAATGTACATAAATGACATATAAACACACATACAAACACGAGCGCACGCATTCGCATGGTTGGGAGGGGCAGCCAAGACGCTGCCGGCGATAGCGGTAAAAATAACAACACACACAGATTTGTATAGCCCCTTCTGCTGCAATCTGTCTCTGTCACACGCTCACTTTAATGTTAAGCAACAGACTCTCGAACTGTGCCCATTTGCTATCTCTTTCTATGTCTTTATCAGCCCCATTTTTACGCTACGAATTTCGTGTAGACTTGCAATAAATTGAGTTTACATTGGATTTGACATAATATTATATATATATACACACATATGTGTGTGCTTACGTAAATATTTGCATTCTTGCAGAAATAGTTGTGCTAGTTTTTTTAAATTACATTTCCCATTAAAAAAGAACCCTCTTTTCTGACCTTCTACTTTAGTTTAAAAGCCCAATTGCCAATTGACTGCCAATGAACTCCCCATTTAACTATTTTCAAAACCTTTTTCAATTTACTTATTTATCTATTTATTCTAATATTGAACAAATATATTTATGCTAAATATTTGCATTCTTACAGAAATAATTGTGTTATTTTTTATTACAGAAATTTCCTTCTACTATTTCTATATTTATTTAAAAAGCCGATTGCCAATTTGTATACCCCATTTGAGCATTTAATGGCTTTTGTCTTATTTACATTTGGGCTACGCTTGTTTTATTTCCAATTTATTTATTTTTTCACTTTTTATTGGGACTTCTTGCAACATTTACTCTTGTCTAGCAACATTTTCAATTTCTCTGTACATTTCTTTATTTTGCTTATCAAAAAGCTTCGCGTACAAATAAACACAAAGAACATAAAGCAGGGTAGCTAGAAAAAAATTGAATGAAAATAAAGGGGCATGAACAAATTGTTTACGGATGTGTTTGCGTCCGTCTTCTAATCTTTGTTGTTGCTGCTGCTGTTGTTGCCGTTGTTGCCGTTGTTGCTGTTGTTACCACAACTGCCATTGCCATTGCAAAAAGGAAGTAAATGGGAGCATAGAAGCAGCCCGAAAACGCAAAAGGATGTAACAAAAATTCATAACAAAGTACATTTCATGGCAGTGCGAGCAACTCGTTCATCCTGTTCGGTTTCTTTCGGTTGCGTGTTGTGTCTGTGTGTGTGTGTCTGTGTGCGTGTGCGTGTGTATCTGCGTGTATCTATGTGTGAGTCGCTTTTTTATTGTGTGTTTGGTCAGAAAAGGAAATTCACTTGACTTTTGGCTACAATAGTTTTCTTTTACTGGTTCTGTGTTTGTTGTTCTTATTATTATTTCTGTTGTTGCCGACGTTAGCCAAGGGCATAAATAAGCTTGGCTTCTGCTGCAGTTGTCGCCGCTTGGCAGCTTGACTGCGTTTTGGCCATGGCCAGCAAACTAAGATGTGGCCAGTAGGCAGAATACACACACAGGCACACAGACATACGTACGTACTTATTTATGGCAATTTGTCGAAAGTGCTTGGGCATCTATATTTATTAGGAGTAAGAGCTTTCGCAACAAAATAATCTTTCCAAACAATAAAATATGAAACACGAGTGCTCTAGATAGATCGCCTTGGCTGTCCATGTTAATCAACAATATATACACTACACAAAATTGGAAATGTCACAGTTCAATAAACCCGCCAACTGTAGATTGTGGGTAGAGTATGATGATTAGATATAGGCTCATTTATATAAAGAAATTATTTCTATTGGACAATAGATATTCGTAAGCTTCAGTAATTTCGATCACTTAGTGTGGCCATTAAATTATTACATATGACCTTTTAGGCACGCTCTGCTTACTTCTGAAGACATGTGTAGCTTCATTCTTCGTTAAGTGTATTGGAACTTCCGCTTTCACTGGCACATTCAAAGCCACATTCACAACCAATTGTTGTCATAATTGCACCACAAGAGGAACATAGCGGAGCTCATAACTGCTACAACAAAGTACGGCCACACCCAATGGGCCTGCCCTTAATCCCAGTCCCCGTCCTATTCCCATTCGGTTACCAGTATCGGGGCCAAAACATAACGACCCTGGCTAGCTTTTATTATTCCGCTAAATTGATTTTGAATTTAGTTCAATGTTTATGGTCAAATGGTTGCGTTTTTGTGTCACCAGGCTCGGTGTGGAAATAGCAACAAACGCTCATATATGGCTGTATACAGTACCTTTAGATTGGCCTAGGAACAGCCGCTGTCCCTTCACCTTTACCATGCTCTATCTATTTTTGGGAGCCAGTCAGCTAGGTGCG